CAGCCATGCTGAAGGGAAAGGGAGAGGTTTCCAAGCTGAGCCAGGCTGGCTCAGGAATTCTGGGACTTGAAGTCCACGAGTCATGAAGGGGCCATAGTTCCCCCATGCTGACTGAGGAATTGTGGGAGTTGAAGTCCACGGGTCATGAGGGGGCCATAGTTCCCCCATGGTGGCTCAGGAATTCTGGGAGTTGAAGTCCACGAGTCATGAAGGGGCCAAAGTTTCCTTCATGCTGGCTGAGGAATTCTGGGAGTTGAAGTCCACGAGTCATGAAGGGGCCAAAGTTTCCTTCATTCTGGCTGAGGAATTCTGGGAGTTGAAGTCCAGGAGTCATAAAAGAGCCAAGGCCTAATCTGTACTTGTCCCTTTGGTTTTTCCTGCCCAGGTGTAAAAGCCAGCTCTCTCTCTCTCTCTCTCTCTCTCTCTCTCTCTGGAATTGTTAGGAGTGCACAGCTTCCACGCCAGATGGGCCTGGATGGGCCATTCCAGCAGCTGTGGGGAGGGCACCAGACTCTGGCCGGCGGGGCAGGGGGGAGCCCTTGGGAGCCAAGAGGGCTGGGCGTGCCAGAGAGCCTCTTCCCACTGCTGGGAGCCTCTGATCTGCCTCATTTCCCTTTCTGCCTGCCAGCAGTTCTCCTTTCCGCATGCGGGCTGGTGCCATCCCTGGCAAACTGCTGCCTGTGCAGATCGCTGGGAACTGCCTGGCAGACACTCGGGCACTTCCCACCCGCCGCTAAGCCGGATTTGCCCGAGATGCAGCAACTCCTGCTCTGCTCACCCTTAAATTTTGCCTGCTGATTTTTCTCCAGGAAGCTGATGGTTCTTCCTGCTGCATCTTAATGCAGTTGAGAATGGAATGAAATAAGAATGGAATGGAAATATAATATGAATAGAATAGAATAGAATAGAATAGAATAGAATAGAATAGAGCAGAATAGAATAGAATAGAATAGAATAGAATAGAATAGAATAGAATAGAATAGAATAGAATAGAATAATGGAATGGAAATATAATAGAATAGAGCAGAATATAATAGAATAGAGCAGAATAGAATAGAATAGAACAGAATAGAATAGAATAGAATATGGAATAAATAGAATAGAATAGAATAGAATAGGAATAGAATAGAATGTGGAATAAATAGAATAGAATAGAATAGAATATGGAATACATAGAATAGAATAGAATAGAATAGAATAGAATCAGAATCAGAATAGGATAGGATAGGATAGAATAGAAATAGAAATAGGACAGAACAGGACAGAACAAGGATAGGATGGGATGGGACGGGGCGGGGTAGGGTGGAACAAGACAGAACAGAACAGAACAGAATAATGAATAGAATAGAATTCATAATGAATAGAACAGAACAGAACAACTTTATTGTCGATTTAAATGTACATTAATCAGCGTACCTTAAAATGAGATTTCGTTGCATATACACTGCATAAACAGGACAAAAATAAAATCAAATAAAATAATGTTTCTTCCCCCCCCCCCCAAAAAAATTTGGACTTCGCTGCCCAGAATTCCCCAGCTAGCAGGGTGCTGACTGGAGGATTCTGGGAGAGGAAATCCACACTCTTCAGAATGAGCAAGTCTGGAAAATGCAGTCTAAAAGCCGCAGACAAGGCTTCCTACTGGATCACCACAGGACAGATAGTCCTCAACGTACGACGATTCGTTTAGTGACCGTTCAAAGTTCCAAGGCGACCATTTTTCACACTTAACTTAATTTGCGCATCCTCGTTGTATAAACTTGGGGGTTCTGGTCCTCCCCCCCTCCCGAGTTATGGGGTTCGGCAGAGGGAGTCCCACCTATGTAAACCTTGTGGACGTAAAGTCAGCCAGTGCAAACCAGTCTCTGATGCCTCCAGTTCGGCTGGACGGGGTGCCCAGCAGGTTAGCAAGCCAGTTTGGGGGTGTTGGGCTGAGAAGTGGCAGGAGGTGTGTTCGAGTCCTGCTGTAGGCACACTAAACAACCGAGTGACGTTCTCAGCCCCCTGCTGAAAATATTGCCAAGGAAAATGTGGGGGTTTTCTCCTGGGGGGGGTCACCCCTGGTTTGAAGGCGCTCCCCAAAAGAGACTAAACCCCATCTTGAGGCTGACCAGCCAACCATGTCAGCTAGGAAAGCAGATTCCAGTAACTTGGCAAAGCGGCGTCTTTCAAGTGGAAGTCCACAAGTCTTCCGGTGGCCAAATTTGGACATGCCGGCTGCGGAATTCTGGGAGTTGAAGTTCCCAAGTGTTCCAGTTGACAAGTCTGCTGGCTGGGGAATTCTGGGAGTGGAAGTCCTCAAGTCTTTCGGTGGCCAAGGTTGGGTAATGCTGTGTCAAAGAAGCATCTAGTCCAGGGCTTTTCAACCTTTTCACCCACTGTACCACTTTGAGGATAGGGCAACATCCGAGGACCACCAGTCGCCTAGCAAGGGGTCAAAAACTTGATGACCAAAAAAAAAAAAAAAAAAGGAAAAAAGTGATACAGTACAGGTAGTCCTCGACTTACAACAGTTTGCTTAGTGACTGTTCGAAGTTACAATGGCGCTGAAAAAAGGGCCCCCCAAGCCACAGCCGGGCAAGACGCCTGCCTGCCCACCTGGTGGCGCTCTTCTTCCTGTCCGAGGTTTTCATTGTTGTGAGCGTTGCTGTTGAGGATTGGCAGCGGGGGTGGGGTGGGGGGTGTTTGGTTTTTATTCCCTCCCCCCCCCCCCCCGTCTGCTGGATGGTTGCAGCAGGTTTTGGTCACTTCACCTGACCCTGGGACCGTCATAAATATGAATCGGTTGCCAAGCCTCTGAATGTAAATCACAAGACCCTGGAGAGGCTGCAACATTCCAGCTGATTGGCGTTTCTTCAGGGCTCAGCAGAAGCCCCAGGATCAGCGCCAAGTTCAAGGCAAATTATTTTCCCAGGCTGGGTTTGCCCCCTCCGAAGTTTGTTCTGTGCTTAGTCAAAGCCCAACCACCATTTCCAAATAAAGCTAGGTGAAGGGGGGGGGGGCTTGGGCTATGGATCAACTGCTAAACAGGGGAGAGTGAAAAGGAGGGGAGGAAACCCCTTCTCAACAGGGAAGGGGATCAGCAGCCCAGTCCTGGGGGGCATCGGGTGGAGAGAGAGAATAGAATAGACTAGAATGGAATGGAATAGAATAGAATAGAATAGAATAGAATAGAATAGAATAGAATAGAATACTAAAATACAGAATAGAATAGAATAATAGAATAGAATGGAATAGAATAATAGAATAGAACAGAACAGACTAGAATAGAATAGAATAGAATAGAATAGAATAGAATAGAATAGAATAGAACAGAATATAGAATAGAATAGAATAGAATAGAACAGAATACTAAAATACAGAATAGAATAGAATAATAGAATAGAATGGAATAGAATAATAGAATAGAACAGAACAGACTAGAATAGAATAGAATAGAATAGAAGAATAGAATAGAATAGAATAGAATAGAATAGAATAGAAGAATAGAATAGAATAGAATAGAATAGAATAGAATAGAATAGAATAGAACAGAATACTAAAATACAGAAGAATAGAATAATAGAATAGAATGGAATAGAATAATAGAATAGAACAGACTAGAATAGAATAGAATAGAATAGAATAGAATAGAACAGAATATAGAATAGAATAGAATAGAATAGAATAGAATAGAACAGAATACTAAAATACAGAATAGAATAGAATAATAGAATAGAACAGAACAGACTAGAATAGAATAGAATAGAATAGAAAATATGGAATGGAATGGAATGGAATGGAATAGAATAGAATGGAACAGAATAATGATAATAGAATACAATAGAATAGAATATAGAACAGAATATAGAACAAAACAGAACAGAATAATAAAACGATGGTTGGAAACTGATCAAAGAGAGAAGCAACCTGGAATTAAGGAGAAACTTCCTGACAGAACAATTAATCAGTTGAACAGAAGTTGCCACCAGAAATCGTGGGTGCTCCATCACTGGAGGCTTTTAAGAGACTGGACAGTCACTTTTCTAAGATGGTGTAGGTTCTCCTGCCTGAGTGGGGGGGGGGGCTGGACTAGAAGACCTCCAAGGTCCCTTCCAGCTCTATTATACTCCATTCCATTCCATTATTCTATTCTATTCTATTCTATTCTATTCTAGTCTAGTCTAGTCTAGTCTAGTCTAGCCTAGTCTAGTCTATTCTGCTCTACTTCTATCCTGCTCTAATACTATCCCATAATTCTACTCTAGTCTGTTCTGTTCTGCTGTATTTCTATTCTATTCTATTCTATTCTATTCTATTCTATTCTATTCTATTCTATTCTATTCTATTCTATTCTATTCCGTGTATTGTATTGTATTCTAGATGACCTCAAAGGTCCCTTCCAACGTTATTGTTGTTGTTATCATTACTACTACTACTACTATTACTATTATTACTGTTAAAGGTCACAAAAGGCGATGAGAGGACCACCGGGACTCTGCAACCGTCCTCACCGGTTGCCAAGCATCTGAATATTGGATCCCTGCGATTGCGAAGAGGCCACAAGGCTGCCCAATGGCCGCCAGCCCCTTTTTCCCCCAGGGCCGCTGTAACTTCGACGGGTCGCTAAGCGAACGGTCGTTAACTGAGGACTCCCTGCATCCTCGGCAAGGCGGCCAAAGGCAGCTGCCTGGGCTGCGAAGCTCTCGCCCCGCAGGCCGCCCTGCCTGGCTGGGTGACGAAATGAAACTCCCCACGGAAGGAATCGCTGGGCTCAGCGGCTGGAAAGATGCTGTTTCAGAGGACGGACGGCCCTCCTGCCCCCTCCCTCCTGCCCTCCACCCCCCCCCCCCGGTGCTGGGGGGAGAACACCACGGCCCTCCCCTCCCCTTGTCGCCCCCAGGCAAGGCTGATTTAAATGCCGAGACGGGCGGCTGTTGAACCAGCCCTCGTTGCAGTGACAGGCGGGCGCTACCCTGCCTCAGTTTCCCCTTTGGCTTCCTCCGGGCCGGTTCCTTCCATCCGCAGGTGGCGAAACAGGTTGGCAGAGGAGAGGCACCACCTGCCGGCTCTGGGCACCCTTCTCCGAGGTGGAGGTACGACAGGTAGGAAGAGATTCTCCGACGGTCTTGCTTGGGCTGCGAGGTTTCCACACCCCCCCCCGCTTTCCCGATCTCTGCACATGCTCGTGGGTGGGCGGGCTGAGGGGCTTCAACCAGGGCTTGCCTGGCCGCGGGGTCCGCTCAGCCTTTGCCCTCCGTCCCCCCCCCCGGCCCAAACTTCTCTCTTTTTTTAGCCCCGTCGCTCTCTCCTGCCTCCGACGGAAGAAACGGTGGGGGGCTGGAGAGAGTCGCCCGCTCGGTTTGTGGGTTTGTGTGTGTGTGTGTGTGTGTGGGTCGGGGGAAGTGTGGAGAAAGGAAGCGAAGCGGGGGGGGGACAGGTTACAAGCCCCTGATAGTGAACCGGCTCGGGGTGGGGTGGGGTGGGGGTGGGGGCGAAACCCTTGGTGGTTTTATTCTCTTTTTTGAGAAAATCTGAAACAATTAACCCCGCGGAGCTTCATCTCTGGGGGCTTTTAAGGAGGGGCTGGACAGCCACTCATCCGGAATAATATAAGGTCTCCTGCTTGAGAAGGGGGTTGGACTAGATGACCTCCGAGGCCCCTTCCGGCTCTGTCCTTCTATGATTCTGTAAGGGTCTCTTGCTTGAGCAGGGGGTTGGGCTAGATGACCTCCGAGGCCCCTTCCGGCTCTGTCCTTCTATGTTTCTCTAAGGGTCTCTTGCTTGAGCAGGGGGTTGGGCTAGATGACCTCGAGGCCCCTTCCGGCTCTGTCCTTCTATGTTTCTCTAAGGGTCTTCTATGATGATCTCTGGCTCTGTCCTTCTATGATTCTGGGGTCTTGCTTGCTTGACTCAGGGGGCTTGGTACTAGATGACCCTCGAGGCCCCTTCCGGCTCTGTCCGTCTATGTTTCTCTAAGGGTCTCTTGCTTGAGCAGGGGTTGGACTAGATGACCTCCGAGGCCCCTTCGGCTCTGTCCTTCTATGATTCTGTAAGGTCTCTTGCTTGAGCAGGGGTTGCGACTAGATGGACCTCCGAGGCCCCTTCCGGCTCTGTCCTTCTATGATTCTGTAAGGGTCTCTTGCTTGAGAAGGGGGTTGGACTAGATGACCTCCGAGGCCCCTTCCGGCTCTGTCCTTCTATGATTCTGTAAGGGTCTCTTGCTTGAGCAGGGGGTTGGGCTAGATGACCTCCGAGGCCCCTTCCGGCTCTGTCCTTCTATGTTTCTCTAAGGGTCTCTTGCTTGAGCAGGGGGTTAGGCTAGATGACCTCCGAGGCCCCTTCCGGCTCTGTCCTTCTATGTTTCTCTAAGGGTCTCTTGCTTGAGCAGGGGGTTGGGCTAGATGATCTCCGAGGCCCCTTCCGGCTCTGTCCTTCTATGATTCTGTAAGGGTCTCTTGCTTGATCAGGGGGTTGGACTAGATGACCTCCGAGGCCCCTTCCGGCTCTGTCCGTCTATGTTTCTCTAAGGGTCTCTTGCTTGAGCAGGGGGTTGGACTAGATGACCTCCGAGGCCCCTTCCGGCTCTGTCCTTCTATGATTCTGTAAGGGTCTCTTGCTTGAGCAGGGGTTGGGCTAGATGACCTCCGAGGCCCCTTCCGGCTCTGTCCTTCTATGTTTCTCTAAGGGTCTCTTGCTTGAGCAGGGGGTTAGGCTAGATGACCTCCGAGGCCCCTTCCGGCTCTGTCCTTCTATGTTTCTCTAAGGGTCTCTTGCTTGAGCAGGGGGTTGGGCTAGATGATCTCCGAGGCCCCTTCCGGCTCTGTCCTTCTATGATTCTGTAAGGGTCTCTTGCTTGATCAGGGGGTTGGACTAGATGACCTCCGAGGCCCCTTCCGGCTCTGTCTTTCTATGATTCTGTAAGGGTCTCTTGCTTGAGCAGGGGGTTGGACTAGATGACCTCCGAGGCCCCTTCCGGCTCTGTCCGTCTATGTTTCTCTAAGGGTCTCTTGCTTGAGCAGGGGGTTGGACTAGATGACCTCCGAGGCCCCTTCCGGCTCTGTCCGTCTATGATTCTGTAAGGGTCTCTTGCTTGAGCAGGGGGGTTGGGCTAGATTGTAGTGGAAAAACCACGATACTTACATCAGAAGACCCGACCACGAAGGGTTGGAGAAAACAGGTTTTATTTGCGCACAATGGTTCAGAGTATTAGCATGACAAATTCTGAACCCCGAGTTACTCCCGGGGTGTCATTCTTATACAGCTTGCCGCCCACGCTTAACCTAAGGGATGACTTCTTATCTACCTTTAACCGACTAAAAGAGAGAAGTTCATGTCCTGAGACCACACACGCAGGAAAAAGGGAAGTTTATCCAATGTGCGGAAAACCACACTCCCCTACACGCGCAATATCTTACACCATTTGTGACTTTCGGTTGGCACCTCTTGTAAAAATGTTTCTTCATAGAATTGCACACAGGTCATCACCATTCAGCCAGTTTATAATATTAGTGAATGCTTGCTAAACATCACTCCTGTTAATTAAAATATAATTCAACAGTACTTTATCGTTTCTCTTAATGGCAATTTTTCCATCTACCTCAAGATGACCTCCGAGGCCCCTTCCGGCTCTGTCCTTCTATGATTCTGTAAGGGTCTCTTGCTCGAGCAGGGGGGTTGGACTAGATGACCTCTGAGGTCCCTTCCAGCTCTGTCCTCCTGTGATTCTGTAAGGGTCTCCTGCTTGAGCAGGGGCTTGGACTAGATGACCTCCGAGGTCCCTTCCAGCTCTGTCCTTCTATGATTCTGTAAGGGTCTCTTGCTTGAGCAGGGGGGTGGACTAGATGACCTCAGAGGCCCCTTCCGGCTCTGTCCTTCTGTGTTTCTCTAAGGGTCTCCTGCTCAAGCAGGGGGTTGGACTAGATGACCTCCAATGTTCCTCACTGCTTTGTCCTATGATTCTGTAGGGGTCTCTTGCTCGACCAGGAGGTTGGACTAGATGACCTCCGAGGCCCCTTCCGGCTCTGTCCTTCTATGTTTCTCTAAGGGTCTCCTGCTCAAGCAGGGGGTTGGACTAGATGACCTCCGAGGTCCCTTCCAGCTCTGTCCTTCTGTGATTCTGTAAGGGTCTCCTGCTTGAGCAGGGGGTTGGACTAGATGACCTCCAAGGTCCCTTCCAGCTCTGTCCTTCTATGATTCTGTAAGGGTCTCCTGCTTGAGCAGGGGGTTGGACTAGATGACCTCCGAGGTCCTTTCCAACCCCCCCCCCACTAACGGAAGACCTAGTTTGCAGGATCCAGGAAGGCTCAGATGCTCTCCCAAAACTGCTTTTTGAAAGACAGCTAGATTGTCTTGGGGTTCCCCCCCCCCTTTTGAAAACATTTCGCTTCTCCTCCAAGAAGCTTCTTCGGTTCTGACCGGATGGTGGGGAAGGGAAGGATTGATATGCTTTGCCCTTAGCAACCGTTTGGTCAGAACCGGAGAAGCTTCTTGGAGGAGGAGCGAAAACTTTTCGAGGGAAAACCAAGTTGCCTTGTCAAAAGCATCTCTGGGACAACCGTGATCCGGATGATGGAGAAGCTTTGTAGAGGTTCAGATGCTCTGATATAATTTGGTCCTTTCGGGGGTTCTGATGTCAAACTTGCATGTGTGTGTGTGTGTGTGTGTGTGTGTGTCCTACCAGAATCTGGAGGGCCAGCGGTGACAGATGTTGGTTACCTACCACTTTGGAGGAAGAACATGTGAAGAAGTCTCCTCTCATTTTTGGGGTCCGGTTGGTGCAGATGTGGGGGGCAAACTGTATATATCCAGGTTTGTTTGAAATTCTCACGTTAGCGTTACGGTCCTATTGTTTCTTGTGGCTTGTGAGACTCTCCCATTAACAAACACGGGTCTCCTCCTATTGGGAGGCGAGGAGAACCCGCAACTTAACCTTGTTGGGGACTAGCACATAATAATAATAATAATAATAATAATAATAATAATAATAATAATAATAATAATAATGGTATATCTGTAATACCATCAAACATCCACATCTGCCTATCCCAGGTCCTGGGTAAGGACTCGATAGGTAGACAAAATGCCAAATCCAGTCTGAACATCAGGCTGACTGTGCGATGATCAATAATAATAATAATAATAATAATAATAATAGGTCCTGGGTAAGGACTCAATAGGTAGACAAAATGCCAAATCCAGTCTGAACATCTGGCTGACTGTGCGATGATCGATAATAATAATAGTAATAAAGTTGGAAGGGACCTTGGAGGTCATCTAGTCCAACCCCCCTGCTCAGGCAGGAAACCCTATACCATTTCGGACAAAGGGCTGTCCAGTCTCTTCTTAAAAAATTCCAGTGTTGGAGCATCCACCGCTTCTGGAGGCGGGTTGTTCCACTGGTTAATTGTTCTAACTGTCAGGAAGTTTCTCCTTAGTCCTTGGTTAGTTTCCATCCGTTACTTCTTGTTCTGCCTTCAGGCGCTTTGGAGAATAGCTTGACTGCCTCTTCTTTATGGCAGCCCCTGAGATATTGGAAGACTGCTATCATGTCCCCCCTTGTCCTTCTCTTCGTTAAACTAGACATACCCAATTCCAGCAACCGTTCTTTGTATGTTTTAGCCTCCAGCCCCCTGAGCATCTTTGTTGCTCTTCTCTGTACTCTTTCTAGAGTCTCAGCATCTTTTTTACATCGTGGTGACCAAAACTGGATGCAGGATTCCAAGTGTGGCCTTACCAAGGTGTTGTAAAGCGGTACTAGCGCTTCACGTGATCTTGATTCTATCCCTCTGTCATTCTACTCTATTCCCTTCCCTTTGACTTTTTGGCCACATGGATGCTCCTCTTTCTAGCCAGATGTCTTCATCCAGATGTGGGTCGTGCATGTTGTGTATCATTTCCAGGGGTTGCCAGTCCCTTTGAGTCTTGGTCCACCCAGACAGCCAAGCTCTAAATACGAACCGTACGTAAAATCAAACCAGCAACTTGAACTCATTTTATTTTATTTTGTTTAGATTTTAGTCTTGCCTTTCTGCCTTAAGGCCACTCAAAGCAGCGGGCCGTCAATTGCAACACAGATTATTAAGATCATTTTTTAAAAAAAATAATTTTTTTTTTTTAAAAAGCCCAACGGTTCAAATCCGAATGGAGAATAATTTAGTTTGCAAGGTTTACGCAAAGAGGAAGATCCGGTGGAAAGGATCAGGACCACGCGGGACCCCTTCCTCAGGAGGCACGGACAGGAACTGGCCCCTTTTAGAGGATGAGGGCCTTCCCAGATGGGGAAAAGGAAACCTCCTTCTCCCAGAGAGAGACGATTACCCTGCGGAACTCCTGGCCACTTGGGGATGCTGCCAAAGGCAGATTAAATCAGTGCTTCGAAGAATTAGTCAGAGATAGCGCTCAACCAGACATCTAACAATAAAATTAATTTGGCATGCATCCGGCAGAGCAGGTGAATCCGTGGGCTCAGCGGCTGAGGCACGTGGGGCAGAGCACCATAAAAAGGCGCACGGGGAGGCAGAAAATCTGGACGGGCGAGTTTGCCTCAATTGTTTGCTCTTTCCTTCGCAGGCTCTTTTGCGCTCTCCTTGAACAGCAGCGGTGGCATCGCAGGCACCTTCAGGATGTTGCAGATCTTCTCCTATCTGAGCGCTGAAATCGACTGGTGTGAAGCCAACTTTGAGCGCTCCGAATATATTGCTGAATATTACAACACGGTAACTCTCCGGGTGACGGGCTTTGGCTAGGACGAGACCCCGCTTCCTGTCCTTGCCCACCCACTGGGGGAGCCGGTCTGCTGCGGGTAGACTAGTAGAATCAGAATAGAGCTGGAAAGGACCTCGGAGGTAATAATAATAATGATAAAGTTGGAAGGGACCTTGGAGGTCATCCAGTCCAACCCCCTGCTCAGGCAGGAAACCCTAGACCATTTCAGACCAATGGCTGTCCAGTCTCTTCTTAAAAACCTCCAGTGTTGGAGCATTCACTGCTTCTGGAGGCAGGTTGTTCCACTGGTTAATTGTTCTAACGGTCAGGAAGTTTCTCCTTAGTTCTAGGTTGCTTCTCTTCTTGATTAGTTTCCACCCATTGCTTCTTGTCCTGCCTTCAGGCGCTTTGGAGGATAGCTTGACTCCCTCTTCTTTGGGGCAGCCCCTGAGATACTGGAAGACTGCTATCATGTCCCCCCTCATCCTTCTCTTCATTAAACTAGACATAACCAATTCCAGCAACCATATGTTTTAGCCTCCAGTTCCCTAATCATCTTAGTTGCTCTTCTCTGTACTCTTTCTAGAGTCTCAGCATCTTTTTTACATCGTGGTGACCAAAACTGGATGCAGGATTCCAAGTATGGCCTTACCAAGGCCTTGTAAAGTGGTATTAACACTTAACATGATCTTGATTCTATCCCTCTGTTAATGCAGCCCAGCACTGTGTTGGCCTTTTTGGCAGCTGCAGCACACGGCTGGCTCCTATTTAGGTGATTGTCCACTAGGACTCCGAGGTCCCTCTCACAGTTACCACTATTGAGCAAGGTACCCCCTATACTATACCTGCGCATTTGGTTTTTCTTGCCTAAATGTAGAACCTTGCTTTTTCCACCATTGAATTTCATTTTGTTAGATAGCGCCCAGTGTTCAGGTCTGTCCAGATCCTCCTGTATCCTAAGCCTGTCTTCTGGAGTGTTGGCTATTCCTGCCAACTTGGTGTCATCCGCAAATTTCCCAGCTGAACCAGGCTGGCTCAGGAATTCTGGGAGTTGAAGTCCAGGAGTCATGAGGGGGCCATAGTTCCCCCATGCTGGCTCAGGAATTCTGGGAGTTGAAGTCCACTAGTCATGAGGGGGCCATAGTCCCCCCATGTTGGCTCAGGAATTCTGGGAGTTGAAGTCCAGGAGTCATGAAGAGGCCATAGTCCCCCCATGCTGGCTGAGGAATTCTGGGAGTTGAAGTCCAGGAGTCATGAGGGGGCCATAGTCCCCCCATGCTGGCTGAGGAATTCTGGGAGTTGAAGTCCACGAATCATGAGGGGGCCATAGTCCCCCCATGCTGGCTGAGGAATTCTGGGAGTTGAAGTCCAGGAGTCATAAGGGGGCCATAGTTCCCCCATGCGGCTCAGGAATTCTGGGAGTTGAAGTCCAGGAGTCATGAGGGGGCCATAGTTCCCCCATGCTGGCTCAGGAATTCTCGGGAGTTGAAGTCCATGAGTCATGAGGGGGCCATAGTTCCCCATGCTGGCTCAGGAATTCTGGGAGTTGAAGTCCAGAGTCATGATGGGGGCCATAGTCCCCCCTATGCTGGTGCTGAGGAATTCTGGGAGTTGAAGTCCAGGAGTCATGAGGGGCGCCATAGTCCCCCCATGCTGGCTGAGGAATCTGGGCGTTGAAGTCCACGAGTCATGAAGGGGGGCCATTAGTCCCCCAATGCTGGCTGAGGGAAGTTCTGGAGTTGAAGTCCAGGAAGTCATGATGGGGGCCATAGTCCCCCATGGTGGCTCAGGAATTCTGGGAGTTGAAGTGCATGAGTCATGAGGGGTCCATAGTTCCCCCATGCTGACTCAGGAATTCTGGGAGTTGAAGTGCACGAGTCATGAGGGGGCCATAGTTCCCCCATGCTGGCTCAGGAATTCTGGGAGTTGAAGTCCACGAGTCATGAGAGGGCCATAGTTCCCCCATGTTGGCTCAGGAATTCTGGGAGTTGAAGTCCACAAGTCATGAAGGGGCCATAGTCCCCCCATGCTGGCTGAGGAATTCTGGGAGTTGAAGTCCAGGAGTCATGAGGGGGCCATAGTCCCCCCATGTTGGCTCAGGAATTCTGGGGGTTGAAGTCCGCAAGTCATGAAGGGGCCATAGTTCCCCCATGCTGGCTGAGGAATTCTGGGAATTGAAGGCCACGAGTCGTGAGGGGGCCAAAGTTCCCCCATGCTGGCTCAGGAATTCTGGGAGTTGAAGTCCACAAGTCATGAGGGGGCCATAGTTCCCCCATGCTGGCTGAGGAGTTCTGGGAGTTGAAGTCCACGAGTCCTAAAAGAGCCAAGGTTGCCTACCCCTGCCCTAGACAATTAAAGCAAGGGAAAAGAATAAATTAATCGTTAATTTACAGTCATTTGCTAGAATTCTCTGCAGTTTCGCTTCCTTGCAATCGATTCAACCTATTCTCCAAAGCTCCTGACGGCAGAACAAGAAGCAAGGGTTGGGAAATAAGCCACCTAGATAGGTTGGTTTCTCCAATCATCTCCAATAAGGAGACATTTCCTGATAGAACAATCAACCAGTGGAACACCTTGCCACCAGAAGATGTGGGTGCTCCATCACTCAAGGTTTTCAAGATGACACCGGACAGTCACTTGTCTGAAATGGTAAAGGATAATAATAACAACAACAATAATAATAAAAAGTTGGAAGGGACCTTGGAGGTCATCTAGTCCAACCCCTTGCTCAGGCAGGAAACCCTATACCATTTCGGACAAATGGCTGTCCAGTCTCTTCGTAAAAACTTCCAGTGTTGGAGCATTCACCACTTCTGGAGGCAGGTTGTTCCACTGGTTAATTGTTCTAACTGTCAGGAAGTTTCTCCTTAATTCTAGGTTGCTTCTCTCCTTGATGAGTTTCCACCCGTTGCTTCTCGTCCTGCCTTCAGGCGCTTTGGAAAATAGCTTGACTCCCTCTTCTTTGGGGCAGTCCCTGAGATATTGGAACACTGCTTGAGCAGGGGGTTGGACTAGAAGACCTCCAAGGTCCCTTCCAACTCACTTCTTCTGTTATTCTTGCAAACCAGCTTTGCTTTCCATCCAGCGTTGACCGTGCAGGGGTCAAAAACTATCCAGGTTAACCAGACTCTGACCCAGGGCAGGTTTTCAATGGGCCCATCTCCTTGTTTGTAACTAGGTTGTGGGCACAAGCTGACCCAAGACTCTGATGTTATCTCTTAGATGATAACTAAGACGCGATGCCTCACGGATTGTAGAGTAGGCAGGCTGTGGGAACAGGCCTTAGAAATAGGCCACTCGAAGTAGGGCAGATGTTGCAAGGATTCTGGAAACGCTACCCAATCAGTGCCGGGTAGAACGGAGAGCCTGCCAGGGTGTGAATCGTAGACTCCAAGGCCGGGAGGGACCTTGAGGTCTTCTAGTCTGACCCCCGTTCCCAGGGCAGCCCTCTTTAGGTCATCCAATCCTTTCTGGAGAAGTTCCCAGGATGGAACACCGTGACTTCAGGAGACAGGTGAGCGAAGCGTGGATTCATGCTTCTTGTGGTTAAGGCTTTTGAGGCTAGCCATTCCTTCTGGGTGGGTCACCCTTTGAAGGCAGAACATGCCACCTTGCAGCAATCACAACAGATTCCTCTAGGCTTAGTCCATTACTGGCGGATTCATCATCAGAAAGCGTCTCGTGCCTTGGAAACCGCATGTTTTCCGGCTTCCTTTCAATCATTGCCAATTCTCAAGGGTTGCCTGGGCAAGTCCCGGCTGTTTTTTTGGCAAGGTTTTTTTCGGAAGTGGTTTGCCTGTGTCTTCTCCATTCTAGAGCGGTGGGGGCGTGAAGGGCCAGCTGGCTTGGTGCCCGAGGCAAGAGTTGAACCCCCTGTTTCTGGCCTGGGGCCATGAACACGAGGCCAAACTGGCTCTCCAAATAGCGTAACATAATATTGAACAGACGTTGAGACTTTGGAAAAAGCGCAGAGAAGCGCAACTACGAGGATTAATTAAAGGCCTGGAGACTAAAACATCTGAAGAACGGTTGCAAAGATTTGGGTATGTCTAGTTTAATGAAGAGAAGGACCAGGGGGGACAGGATAGCAGCCTTGCAGTATTTGAGGGGCTGCCCCAAAGAAGAGGGGGGGGGATCACGTTGTTCACCAAAATACCAGAAAGGCAGGACGAGAAGCAACGGATGGAAACTAACCAAGGAGAGAAGCAACCTGGAATTAAGGAGAAACTTCCTGACAGTGTCAACAATTAACCAGTGGAGCAGCTTGCCACCAGAAGTTGTGGATGCTCCATCGCTTTCCGGAAGAAACTGGACAGCTACTTGTCAGAAATGATACAGGGTCTTCTGCTCAAGCAGGGGGTTGCACTGGAAGACCCCCCTGGTTCTTCTTCCAACTCTATTCGGATTGAGAATTATTCTCAGCAGGCAAAGCATCGTGGTTTTCGTCCGTCCACTCCAACCGGATATTCTTGGGTTCTTTTTTTTTTAAAAAAAAATCTAAGGTGAGGAGGGATGGATGTAAACCTTAGGACTCTCCACGCTGCAAACCCCCTTCCTGTGCTCCCCTTCCTGAAATCAAGAGACCGCTGGCCTTTCTTCAAGGTGGGATAATTTCAGGCGTCCTTTTTGAGCGCAGGCCCCCGTCCCGAGCTTATAATAATAATAATAGTAGTAAAGTTGGAAGGTACCTTGGAGGTCATCTAGTCCAACCCCCTGCTCGGGCAGGAAACCCTACACCATTTCGGACAAATGGCTGTCCAGTCTCTTCTTAAAAACTTCCAGTGTTGGAGCATTCACCGCTTCTGGTGGCAGGTTGTTCCACTGGTTAATTGTTCTCACTGTCAGGAAGTTTCTCCTTAGTTCTAGGTTGCTTCTCTCCTTGATTAGTTTCCACCCGTTGCTTCTTGTCCTGCCTTCAGGTGCTTTGGAAAATAACTTAAGTCCCTCTTCTTTAGAGCAAGCCCCTGAGCAAGCCGATTCACTTCCAGGATCCGCATTCGAGGATCAGCCAACGCTCAGCACCCTGCATCTCACCAGGAAGGGAATCCAGCGCTCTCTGGATCCTAGAAAAAGGAAACGATCAAGACCACAGACCTGTGTTTTTCAAGCTTGGGCACCTGGAGATGGGTGGACTTCAACTTCTGGAATTCTGGGAGTTGAAGTCCACCCCTATTCAAGTTGACAAGTTTGAAAAACGTGGAACGAGACCCCTACATCAGGGGTCCCCAACCAGCGGGCCAGCGGAGGGTGGAAATGGCTGGCTGGTGCGCGCATGTGTGCACATGCACTCTCCCCCCCACTCGTGCTAGCGCCCGCAGCCCCGTTTGCACCTGTTTGCGGGCACGAATGGGGATGCTAGTGCTGGACAAGTGTGTGTGGACCGTTTTTCGGGGCCACTATCGCTGGGCGGGTGTGTGCGGCCCATTTGTGCATGTGCGAATGGGGCTGCTAGTGCCAGGTGGGTGGGTGTGTCCCATTTGTGCATGCACGAACGGGGCTGCTAGTGCCAGCTGGGTGGGTGTGGCCCATTTGTGCATGCGCAAACGGGGCTGCTAGTGCCAGGTGGGTGTGTGTGGCCCATTTGTGCATGCGCGAACGGGGCTGCTAGTGCCAGGTGGGTGTGTGTGGCCCATTTGTGCATGCGCAAACGGGGCTGCTAGTGCCAGGCGGGTGTGTCCGGCCCATTTGTGCATGCGCAAACGGGGCTGCTAGTGCCAGGTGGGTGGGTGCGGCCCATTTGTGCATGCACGAATGGGGTTGCTAGTGCCAGCCTGGTGTGTGCAGCCCTATTTGCGTGCATGTGCGCTCGTGCACCAATTTGGAAGCTGCTGTCCACTCTGAGCCGTGACCCCGGGAAGCTTGGAGAGACCTCTGTCCTAGATGTTGAGAAAAGAGGACACAAGCCCACAGAATTGTGGGAGTTGAAGTCCACCTGCGCGGGCTGGGGGAATTGTGGGAGAGGTCCACCCGTCTTCAAGGGCGCAAGATTGAGGAAGCACCGTCTTGGGACCAGGCTTCTCCAATCGTGGCCACTTTGAAGCTTGTGGACCCCAACTCCCAGAATTCCTCAGCCAGCCATGCATGGCTGGCTGAGGAATTCTGGGAATTGAAGTCCACAAGCTTCAAAGTGGCCAAGCTTGCCATAGCCCAGTGGTTCTCAACCTGTGGGTCAGGACCCCATTTGGGGTCGAACGACCATTTCACGGGGGTCGCCAAACAACGCAGTCCGCCATTTTTTCCCCCCTTTTCCTCAGCTGTGCTACTCCCTTTTATTCTATTGGCTTTTGAAAGCCAATAGAAGAGACTCTCTTGAATAGAGTCTAATTCTATTGGCTTTCCAAAGCCAATAGGAATTGTCCAGGCTGTCTCTGCCCTGCTGAGCCCGCCAAAAGTCCCATTCTGCAAACGGGGCTGCACCAGTTGAGTAGTCCTTGACTTACGACCGGTTGAGTAGTCCTCGACTTACGACCGGTTGGGGGTCGCGGCATTAAAAAGGTTGAGAACCACTGCCATAGATAGACCCCAGCCCCCCCCCCAAAGAAAAATTACAGATAATACCGAAGCAATCCGAACTCTCTCTCTACATCTCTCGGTCTGCCCCAGTGGGCTCAGTAGGGAGGAGGGGGAATCAAAGTGGGCGGGGCCACCAGCTTTGCCCCTTCGAAGATTTGCAAGTTTCTAACTTTTCTCCTCCTTTCTGTCTCTTACTCTTCCCCTTCTTTCTCCTCCAGATCAGCAACGTGGCCTTTTTCATCTTGGCCCCCATGTTGTTGTGGCTCAACACTGATTATATCAGATATCGCCCCCTGCCGATTCGGGGCTTCGTCATCCTGCAGCTGTTTATTGGTAGGTGACCACGAAGGCTGAGCATGAGCAGAACGCCAGGCCCGGCCCCGCTATCAGCCCTGCGAGGTAGTCCAGCCAAGCCACGACTACAGGAGAATGAGCTCTATCTGCCTAAGCAGAGGGTTGGACTAGATGACCTCCAAGGTCCAACTTTATTATTATTATTATTATTTCTAAGGCTCTTTTAGTACAGGTAGTCCCTGGATTACGGCCGCAGCGGAGTCCAAGGTTTCCGTTTGCCCAGTGAGACAGGTGAGTTTCGGCCTCGTTTTACGACCTTTTCTTGTTGCCGTTAAGTGAATCACTGAAGTTGTTAAATTAGTAACCTGGTTGCTAAGTGAATCTGGTTTCCCCATAGATTTTGCTTCTCAGAAGGTTGCAAAAGGGGATCGTATGTGACACACACACACACACACACACACATACACACACACACGGACACTGCGACCGTCATAAATATGAGTCGGTTGCCAAGCGTCGGAATTTTGATCAAGTGACTCTGGGGATGCTGCGAAGGTCATAAGTGGGGGACTTTTTTCCGTGGCGTTGTAACTTCGAACAGCCCTTAAATGATCTGTTGTAAACCGAGGACTAGCTGTAGAATCTTCTTCTCTGTAGATTTTACTTTCCGGAAAAGTGGGGAGGTGCTTTACACCTCTCCCTCTTTGTGTGGCCCTAGATGGGGTTTGCATCAAGGTTGTCCAGATATGGCTTTAGAACAGAATAGAACAGTGGTTCTCAACCTTTTTAATGCCGCACCCCCCCCAACCGGTCGTAAGTCGAGGACTACTCAACCGGTCGTAAGTCGAGGACTGCTCAACTGGTGCAGCACCGTTTGCAGACTGGGACTTTTGGCGGGCTCAGCAGGGCAGAGAACAGCCTGGACAATTCCTATTGGCTTTGGAAAGCCAATAGAATTAGACTCTATTCAAGAGAGTCTATTCTATTGGCTTTCAAAAGCCAACCGAATAAAAGGGAGTAGCACAGCCAAGGAAAAGGGGGGGGGGAAATGGCGGACTGCGTTGTTTGGCGACCCCCGTGAAATGGTCGTTTGACCCCAAATGGGGTCGCGACCCACAGGTTGAGAACCACTGGAATAGAATAAAATACAGAATAGAACAGAATTCAGAACTGAGAATCAATAGAATAGAATACAGAATAGAATAGAATCCAGAATTAATTTACACAAAAGGAAAAAAACAGTCCAACCTATCAAAAACAGCACTGTAAAAAACAGATTAGTTAAAATAGGCAAGAAAATGGTAAGTGAGCACCTGTCCAGCCTAGACGAGTTCAAATCGCCAGGACCAGATGGATTACACCCCAAGGTTCTCAAGGAACTGGCAGATGTGATCTCAGAACCGTTGAACTATATTTTTCAAAGTTCTTGGAGCACTGGGGAACTACCAGAGGACTGGAAAAGAGCTGATGTAGTTCCCATCTTCAAAAAAGGAAAAAAAATGGATCCAGGAAATTACAGACCTATCAGCCTGACCGCAATACCTGGGAAGATCCTGGAAAAGATACTCAAGCAATGAATCAGCAAACACCTAGAGGCAAACAAAGTCATTACTAAAAGCCAACATGGGTTTGTCAAAAACAGATCATGCCAGACAAATCTTATTGCATTCTTTGACCAAGTGACAAAATTAATGGATCAGAGGAATGCTGTGGATATAATTTACTTGGACTTCAGTAAGGCATTTGACAAAGTAGATCACAACCTACTACTTGATAAGATAGAAAAATGTGGGGTAGACAGAATCACCACCAGATGGATTCGTAGCTGGCTGACTGACCATACTCAGCGTGTGGTCCTCAATGGAACTGCATCTACATTGAGGGAAGTGTGCAGTGGGTTGCCCCAGGGCTCTGTTCTGGGCCCAGTGCTCTTCAACATCTTCATCAATGATTTGGATGAAGGGATAGATGGGGAACTCATCAAATTTGCAGATGACACCAAGCTGGCAGGAATAGCCAACACTCCAGAAGGCAGGCTTAGGATACAGGAGGATCTGGACAGACTTACTCAATAGTAGTAACTGTGAGAGGGACCTCGGAGTCCTAGTAGACAATCACCTAAATAGGAGCCAGCCGTGTGCTGCAGCTGCCAAAAAGGCCAACACAGTGCTGGGCTGCATTAACAGAGGGATAGAATCAAGATCACGTGAAGTGTTAATACCACTCTACACTGTCTTGGTAAGGCCACACTTGGAATCCTGCATCCAGTTTTGGTCACCACAATGTAAAAAAGAGGTTGAGACTCTGGAAAGAGTGCAGAGAAGAGCAACAACATGATTAGGGGACTGGAGGCTAAAACATACAAGGAACAGTTGCTGGAATTGGGGATGTCTAGTCTAATGAAGAGAAGGACAAGGGGGGACATGATAGCAGCGTTCCAGTATCTCAGGGGCTGCCCCAAAGAAGAGGGAGTCAAGCTATTCTCCAAAGCGCCTGAAGGCAGGACAAGAAGCAACGGATGGACACTCATCAAGGAGAGAAGCAATCTAGAATTAAGGAGAAACTTCCTGACAGTGAGAACAATTAACCAGGGGAACAACCTGCCTCCAGAAGCGGTGAATGCTCCAACACTGGAAATTTTTAAGAAGAGACTGGACAGCCATTTGTCTGAAATGGTATAGGTATAGGGGTTGCGAGCAGGGGGTTGGACTAGAAGACTTCCAAGGTCCCTTCCAACGTTTATTATTTTTATTATTTTTATCTTTATCATCATCATCATTATTATTATTACAGAATGGAATGGTAAGAGCAGAATGCAGAATACAGAATGCAGGATATGATAGAATAGGATAGGATGCAGAATGCAGAATGGAATGGAATGGGATGGATAGGACAGGATATAGAATAGAATAATGATAGAATAGAATAGAATAATGATAGAATAGAATAGAACAGTGGTTCTCAACCTTTCTAATGCCGCGACCCCATAATACAGTTCCCCATGTTGTGGTGACCCCCAACCACTTATACATCACTGGGTGCCAGGGGAGTGGCCAAAGAAAAGGGGGAAAAATGGCGGACAGCCTTGTTTGGAGACCCCTGTGAAATGGTCGTTCGACCCCAAATGGGGTCCCGACCCACAGGTTGAGAACCACTGGAATAGAATAATGATAGAATAGAATAGAATACGTGGAATGGAATGGAATGGATGGAATGGAATAGAATAGAATATGTGGAATGGAATAGAATGGAATGAAATAGAATAGAATAGAATAGAATAGAATAGAATAGAATAGAATAGAAAATATGGAGTGGAATGGAATGGAATGGAATGGAAGGGAAGGGAAGGGAAGGGAAGGGAAGGGAAGGGAAGGGAATAGAATAGAATAGAATAGAATAGAATAGAATAGAATAGAATAGAATAGAATAGAATAGAATAGAATAGAAAATATTGAGTGGAATGGAATGGAATGGAATGGAATGGAATGGAATAGAATAGAATGGAATGGAATGGAATGGAATAGAATAGAATAGAATGGAAACTTTATTGTCACTTTAAATGTACACTAAATCAACAAACGTTAAAATGAAATTTCGTCACAGCGTCCCGGGGGTGTGTGTGTCACGTGATCCCCTTTTGCAGCCTTCTGACCAGCAAAGTCAAATGGGGGAAGTCAGATTCACTTAACAACCGTGTTGCTAACTTGACAACTGCACTGATTCACTTAACAACGGGGGCGAGAGAGGTCGTAAAATGGAGCCAAACTCCCCTGTCTCCCTTCACAATGTAAATTTGGGGGTCAATTCTGCTGGTAAGTCGAGGATTGCCTGTTTTGAGGACCCTTTGGAGAAAGCGCGTGCCGGCAGTCCTCCACTTATGAATGTCATGGAGCCTGATGGTCAGTCATGGTCATAAAGCAGGTCCTCAGGCCATTGATCTGATTTGATGACTTTTTTCCCCCCGCGATTGTTAAGAGCTTCGCCCAGGATGGGCATCATTTGCACCCAGATGAAGCTTTCCTTGTGGGGGGAGGGCCGTGCCCCGTGGGATCACACCATCCGGTTTGAGGAGGGGGCTGGACTAGAAGACCTCCAAGGTCCCTTCCAGCTCTATTCTGATTGATTGATTGATTGAAATGGTCTAGGATCTCCTGTCTATAGATGGGGAACTCATCAAATTTGCCGACGACATCAAGCTGGCAAGAATAGCCAACACTCCAGAAGACAGGCTTAAGATACAGGAGGATCTGGACAGACTTGAACACTGGGTGCTATCTAACAAAATGAAATTCAATGGTTAAAAAAGCAAGGTTCTACATTTAGGCAAGAAAAAACAAATGCACAAGTACAGCATAGGTGGCACCAGGCTCAATAGTAGTAACTGTGAGAGGGACTCGGGAGTCCTAGTAGACAATCAACTAAATAGGAGCCAGCCGTGTGCTGTGCTGCAGCTGCCAAAAAGGCCAACACAGTGCTAGGCTGCATTAACAGAGGGATAGAATCAAGATCACGTGAAGTATTAATACCACTTTACAATGCCTTGGTAAGGCCACACTTGGAATACTGCATCCAGTTTTGGTCACCACGATGTAAAAAAGATGTTGAGACTCTAGAAAGAGTACAGAGAAGAGCAACAAAGATGATTAGGGGACTGGAGGCTAAAAATATATAAGGAACGGTTGCTGGAATTGGGTATGTCTAGTTTAACGAAGAGGAGGACAAGGGGGGACATGATAGCAGGGTTCCAATATCTGAGGGGCTGCCCCAAAGAAGAGGGAGTCAAGCTATTCTCCAAAGCGCCTGAAGGCAGGATAAGAAGCAACAGATGGAAACTGACCAAGGAGAGAAACAACCTGGAATTAAGGAGAAACTTCCTGACAGTTAGAACAATTAACCAGTGGAACCACCTGCCTCCAGAAGTGGTGAATGCTGCAACACTGGAAGTTTTTAAGAAGAGACTGGACAGCCATTTGTCTGAAATGGTATAGAGTTTCCTGCCTGAGCAGGGGTTGGATTAGATGACCTCCAAGGTCCCTTCCAACTTTACTACTATTACTATTACCTGAGCAGGGGGGTGGACTAGAAGACCTCCAGAGGTCCCTTCCAGCTCTATTCTGATTGATTGATTGATTGAAATGGTCCAGGATCTCCTACCTGAGCAGGGGGCTGGACTAGACGACCTCCAACGGTCCCTTCCCACTCTGCTCTTCCTCCCCAGGCATCTTCTCCTTCTACTACCACATGACCCTGAGCTATGCGGGGCAGCTGTTGGACGAGCTGTCCATCCTCTGGACGCTCTGCATCTCCTACGGCTTCTGGTTCCCCATCCGCTACTTCCCCTCCTTCATCAAGAACAGGTAAGGGGGAGCTGCCCGCCAGCCGTTTCCCTTCACCTGACAGGCAGAGGGGGGAGGGCGGGACGGGGGGGCTTCGCTGGACCCCCAAAGGGCCAGAGAGGTGCTGCAGATTTGGGGCGGGGGATCCAAACTCTGCTGGAGCCGGAAGTGGGCCGAGAGATTCCTCCAAGGGGCCGTGTTTAGTGGCTAAGAGAGGTCGGCCTTTCTTGCCAACATTTAAGACGTGTGGACTTCAACTCCCAGAATTCCCTGGAGGGAATTCTGGGAGTCGAAGTCCACTCACCTTAAAGTTGCCAAGATTGAAAAACACGGACTGTTGAGAGAAGGGGATCCCAGACAGCAGGATTCTGGGAGCTGAAATCCTTATGTAATTGGTGGGGAATCCTGGGAGATGAAATCCACACATGCTTGGTGGGGAATCCTGGGAGCTGAAATCCACACGCGCCTGGTGGGGAATCCTGGGAGCTGAAATCCACATGTAATTGGTGGGGAGTCCTGGGAGCTGAAATCCACATGTAATTGGTGGGGAATCCTGGGAGCTGAAATCCACACGCGCCTGGTAGGGAATCCTGGGAGCTGAAATCCACACGCGCCTGGTGGGGAATCCTGGGAGCTGAAATCCACACGTAATTGGTGGGGAATCCTGGGAGCTGAAATCCACACACGCCTGGGGGGGAATCCTGGGAGCTGAAATCCACACGTGCTTGGTAGGGAATCCTGGGAGCTGAAATCCACATGTAATTGGTGGGGAATCCTGGGAGCTGAAATCCACATGTAATTGGTGGGGAATCCTGGGAGCTGAAATCCACACGCGCCTGGTGGGGAATCCTGGGAGCTGAAATCCACACGCGCCTGGTGGGGAATCCTGGGAGCTGAAATCCACACACGCCTGGTGGGGAATCCTGGGAGTTGAAGTCCATCCACCTTAAAGTTGTCAAGGTTGGAAACTCTGGTCTTGTGGTTCCACGGATCCCAAACACAACAAGGAGGGTCGGCTTGCAGAGAAAACGTAGTGCCCCCATCCCCAAAAAGCTTGGTGTCTCCTTCCCATGTGCTGCACAACCTCAGAATCAGAGAACACACAGAGAGAGGTTGGGGGAGATGGGGGGGGGCTAAGTACTGCTGCTGATGCCCCCACTACCACTCCAAAATCAAATGGGGAGCCACAATGGAGTTATTCAGGCTTTGCCTGTGTTTTATGGGCATTGCCAACTTTTGGGGATGGTGCCCTACAGACTGGCTGCAGCAATCTTGCTTGGGGGGGGGGGAAGAGGAAGAGGAGGAGGGGGGAGGGAAAAGGAGGAGGAAGAAAGAAGGAGAGGAGGAAAAGGAAAGAGGAGGAGGAGGGGGAGAGATGGGGAAGAGGAAGAGTAGGAAGAAGGGAAGAAGGAAGAGAGGGTGAAAGGGACGGAAGAGGAGGAGAAGGAGGAGAAAGAAAGAAGGTTGAGAGGGAGGAGGAGGAAGAAGGGAAGGAGGAAGAGGAAAAGAGGGCAAAGGGGATGGAGGAGGAGGAAGAGAAGAAAGAAGGGGAAGAGGAAGAGAGGGCGAAGGAGAAGGAGGAGGAGAAAGAAAGAAGGTTGAGAGGGAGGAGGAAGAAGGGAAGGAGGAAGAGGAAGAGAGGGCAAAGGGGAAGGAGGAAGAGGCGAAAGAAAGGTTGAGACGGAGGAGGAGGAAGAGGAGAAAGAAGGAAGGTTGAGAGGGAGGAGGAGGAAGAAGGAAAGGAGGAAGAGGAAAAGAGGCCAAAGGGGATGGAGGAGGAGGAGGAAGAGGAGGAAGAAGGGAAGGAGGAAGAGGCGAAAGAAAGGTTGAGACGGAGGAGGAAGAGGAGGAGGAAGAGGAGAAAGGAAGAGAAGTTGAAGGGGAAGGAGGAGGAGGAAGAGGAGGAGGAAGGGAAGGAGGAAGAGGAAGAGAGGGTGAAGGGGACAGAAGAGGAGAAGGAGGAGGAGAAAGAAAGAAGGTTGAGAGGGAGGAGGAGGAGGAAGAAGGGAAGGAGGAAGAGGAAGAGAGGGCAAAGGGGAAGGAGGAAGAAGCAAAAGAAAGGTTGAGACGGAGGAGGAAGAGGAGGAGGAAGAGGAGAAAGGAAGAGAGATCGAAGGGGAAGGAGGAGGAGGAAGAGGAGGAGGAAGAGGAAAAGAGGGTGAAGGGGACAGAAGAGGAGAAGGAGGAGGAGAAAGAAAGAAGGTTGAGAGGGAAGAGGAGGAGGAGGAAAGGAAGGAGGAAGAGGAAGAGAGGGCAAAGGGGAAGGAGGAAGAGGAGAAAGAAAGGTTGAGACGGAGGAGGAAGAGGAGAAAGGAAGAGAGGTCGAAGGGGAAGGAGGAGGAGGAGGAGGAAGAAGGGAAGGAGGAAGAGAGGGCAAAGGGGAAGGAGGAGGAGGAGGCACCCCTCCGGGGCAAATGTCCTGAGCGCCGCCCTCCCTCCCTTAGGGAACAGTTCCTCACCCTTGTGGCCACAGTGACCGTGACCAGCACCCTGCTGTCCTTCGTGAAGCCGGCCCTCAACGCCTACATCCTCAACTGCGCGGCCTTCCACCTGCTCTACCTGATCTTCCTGGAAGTGCGGAGGTAAGCGGCTGGAGGCTTCCCTTGCCGCCCTGCCCAGCGGCCGCTGACCCTCCAGAGGGGGCAGGGCAGGCGGCTGCGATTTGGGTCCTGGGTCGCTTTGCTCGGTGCTGTCGTAGCTTCGGACGGTCGCTAAACGAACCGTGGTAAGCCGAGGACCGCCTGCATTCGGGGACAAAGCCCCGCCAGGAAGACCTTTCCTCGGTCCAGTCTACCGCCGGGCTCAGAGCAGCACGGCCGGCGGTGAAGCCGTCTTCGATGTGCCTCTCTGCCCGTCGGGCCCTTTTCCTGGGGGTGGGGGGTGGGGGATCCAGGGGTTCAGCCCTTCCTCTGGTTTCAGAGGGAGGGTCTGGGAGATTCCCCCCCCCCGGGGGGGGCCCTGAACCCAGCTGCTGCTTAGAAAGGCAAGACCCGGGCGAGGCTCCCTATTTACAGGGTAGCTCAGAGCAGGGACTCAGGCTGGAGCACAAGGGGATGGCTCCCCCCCCCTGGTGGCATCGACCTGCCGGGTGATGGCCCTCTCAGCCTTGACCCCGTCCGCAGGTTCAGCACCCCGGAGATCAAACGTGAGGCACTGACCATGACCTTCTGGTGGGTCATCGCCATCAGCTGCTGGCTGGTGGACAAATTTTTCTGTGGCTTCTGCCAAAGGCTCAACTTCGCCTACCTCCACAGTTTTTGGTAAGAGGGAGGGAGGGAGGGAGGGGGGAGGGAGGGAAGGAGGGAGGGAGGAAGGCAGGCAGGAAGAGAGGAGGGGGTAGGGAGGGAGGAAGGGAGGGAGAGAGGGAGGGAGGGAGGGAAGGAGGGAGGAAGGCAGGGAGGCAGGGAGAGAGGGAGCGAAGCAGGGAGAGAGGAGGGGTAGGGAGGGAGGAAGGGAAGCAGGGAGAAAGGAGGGGTAGGGAGGGAGGAAGGGAGGGAGGGAGAGAGGAGGGGTAGGCAGGGAGGAAGGGAGGGAGGGAAGCAGGGAGAGAGGAGGGGTAGGGAGGGAGGAAGGGAGGGGAGGGAGGGGTAGGGAGGGAGAGAAGAAGGAGGAGGAAGGCAGGGGAGGCAGGGAGAGAGGGAGGAAGCAGGGAGAGGAGGGGTAGGGAGGGAGGAAGGGAAGCAGGGAGAAAGGAGGGTAGGGCGGGAGGAAGGGAGGGAGGGAGAGAGGAGGGGGAGGGGAGGGAGGAAGGGAGGGAGGGAGAGGGAGGGAGGGAGAGAGGAAGGGGAAGGAGGGAGGAAGGCAGGGAGGCAAGGAGAGAGGAGGGGTAGGAGGGAGGAAGGGAGGGAGGGAGGGAGAGGGAGGGAGGGAAGGAGGGAGGAAGGCAGGGAGGCAGGGAGACAGGGAGGGAAGCAGGGAGAGAGGAGGGAGTAGGGAGGGAGGGAAGGAAGCAGGGAGAGAGGAGGGGTAGGGAGAGAGGAGGGAGGGAGGGAGGAGAGGGGGGAAGGGTGAAAGGGAGGGAGAGGGAGGGAGGGAGAGAGGGAGGGAGGGAGCAGGGAGGAAGGCAGGGAGGCAGGGGAGAGAGGGAGGGAAGCAGGGAGAGAGGAGGGGGTAGGGAGGGAGGGAGGGAGGGAGGGAAGCAGGAGAGAGAGGAGGGTAGGAGGGAGGAAGGAGGCGAGGGGAGAGACGAGGGGTAGGGAGGGAGGAAGGGAGGGAAGGGAGGAAGAGGGAGGGAGGGAGAGAGGGAAGGAGGGAAGGAGGGAGGAAGGCAGGGAGGCAGGGAGAGAGGGAGGGAGAGAGGGAGGGAAGCAGGGAGAGAGAGAAGGAGGCAGGGAGGGAGGAAGGGAGGGAGGGAGAGACGGAGGAAGGGAAGCAGGGAGAGGGAGAGAGGGAGAGAGGGAGGCAGGGAGAGAGGGAGAGGAAGAAGGAAAGGAAGGGAGGGAGGGAGAGAGGCAAGGAGGGAGAGAGGGAGGCAGGGATAGAGGGAGGGAAGCAGGCAGCTGGCCATCTCCAACTCACCGTGGGACAATCTCTGTGGGGTAATTCAACAAAGACCAAAGTTAGACTAATTACGACAGACCCGTGGCCAACGACGGTGAAATAAAGTCGATCCAGGAACACGAGAGTTACAACCATCTCAGTGAAATCGTGGTCAGCCGTAATCAAAGCCTCTGAGCCAAACGACTGATACGGCCTTGAATGTGGCCAGCTGGCCGTGGCGCATTGTGCTGGACGGGCGGGACCGGGAGGGTGGAGGGGACGGGGTGACCGAGGCTGCTTTCCCTCTCCTCCCCCCAGGCACGTCTTCATCAATATCGCCCTCCTCCGCTGCATCACCCTCATCCTCTTCTTAGACATCTCTCACGACCTGCCGAGCAGCGAGCCCTCCATGGAGTACTGGCCGAGCAGCAGCTTCCCCCTGGCGCTGCCCTACATCATGATCCGGAAGCCCCTGAAGTGGTGCTAGCGGCACGGTCAGTTGGGGCCACCCTACTGGGTCCTCCAGGATGGAACCCGGCAGCTTTTTGTGGGGGCCTTGGGGAGCCCGGGAGGAAGGCGTCCTAGTTCTCCCCGGCCCTCTGCGCTCCATCGCTAAACTTGAATCCACGCCTCCAAAAGGAGGGAGAAAAAAAAAGACAAATCAAGAGACTGGAAATTCACCTTCAGAAACTCAGTTTTTCTTCTCTAGCACTGTGTGCCTCTCTCCAAAAAGACGTTCTTACCTTCGGAGTAGAACATAGAAGAGCAGCGTCGAAAGAGAACTTGGCGGGCTTTTGATCCAACCCTTTTGCTCAAGGCAGGAGGCCCTCTACCATTTCAGACAAAGGGCTGTCTTTGTCTTCTTTAAAAGCCTCCAATGATGGAGCACCCACAACTTCTGGAGGCAGGTAGTTCCACTGGTTAATTGTTCTCACTGTGAGGAAATTCCTCCTTAGTTCCAGGTTGCTTCTCTCCTTGATGAGTGTCCATCTGTTGCTTCTTGTGCTGCCTTCTGGTGCTTTGGAGAATAGCTTGACTCCCTCTTCCTTGGGGCAGCCCCGGAGATACCGGAACGCTGCTATCCTGTCCCCCCTCGTCCTTCTCTTCATTAAACTAGACCTACCCAATTCCAGCAACCGTTCCTTATATGTTTTAGCCTCCAATCCCCTGATCCTCTTTGTTGCTCTTCTCTGTACTCTTTCTAGAGCAGTGGTTCTCAGCCTGTGGGTCGGGACCCCATTTGGGGCCGAACGACCATTTCACGGGGGTCGCCAAACAAGGCTGTCCGCCATTTTTCCCCCCTTTTCTTTGGCTACGCCCCTGGCACCCGGTGATGTATAAGTGGTTGGGGGTCACCACAACATGGGGAACTGTATTATGGGGTCGCGGCATTAGAAAGGTTGAGAACCACTGTTCTAGAGTCTCAACATCTTGTTTTACATCGTGGTGACCAAAACTGGACGCAGTATTCCAAGTGTGGCCTTAGCAAGGCCTTGTAAAGTGGTATCGTCACTTCACGTGATCTTGAGTCTATCCCTCCGTTAATGCATTCTTAATCAGAACAGAGCTGGGTGAAAAGGTGGGAAAGCCCTGAATTAGATGATGCTGGGAGGGGAGGAGAAAGAATGTGTGTGAGGATTAGTTAAGATAAGAATCATGCAGGCTACAGAACCGGAAGAGAAACTTTGCCCTTCAAACTGATTGGAGAACGTGATTTATGGCAGCAAATTAGAGGAAGGAAATATGCTGGAATAGCAGGTGCTCAGGGGAGGGGGAATTCAGATCTTGGCATCCGCCATGCTGTGCCCACCCTTTGTTTCACGATTAAAGACTTTTTGGGATAAACAATGCCTGGACGTTCTTTGAAGTGTCTCATTAGTCGGAACCTTGACACTAGCTTTCCGACCCCCCCACCCCCCCCACAGGGAAGTCCACCCCCTCTCTGGGGCCTTGGATCTTAGGGGTGTCCCAAGGGCACGGTTTAAAAAAACAAACAAACCACCAAGATGGCAGCCAGAACGATGGGGCAGAAACTCTGCTGGTTTCTTATGTGCATCGCAAGGAGCCTCGTGACTTTAACGCCGGGATCCTGGCGATCTTCTCAGAGTGATCCGTTCACTGAATTCTGCAGGATGCCCTTTCTGGGACACCCCCACCCCCCACCCCTTGGCCTTTGTTCTCTTGGCTAAGCACACAGCTCTTTCCTTCCGTTCTCTTTTGATAGGGATCCTGGTTCGAATTGCCCGCCCAGCTGCCTTGTCCTTCCCAGCCTGATTCCTTGGGTTCTTCGTCGTCGTCTTTTTTTTTTTTTAAATAAAAACACAATCCTTTTAATGAGTTGGTGGAATCAGATCGAATCAAGCTAAGCGGTGTAGGGTTTCCTGCCTGAGCAGGGGGTTGGACTAGATGACCTCCAAGGTCCCTTCCAACTTTACTACTACTACTACTACTACTATTATTATTATCAAACCCACTGAAATCAATGACTTTCATTTAGGAATCTCTGAGCTTGGGTATTTTTTTCGGCAGATGCTTCATTTCCAAACTAGCTAATAACAATAATAGTAGTAGTAGTAGTAGTAGTAGTAGTAGTAGTAAAGTTGAAACTGTTGGTAGAAATTCTAGCCCACTGAATAACACCAAACAGCAAGTTGAAATTAGACAGAGATTTATTGGCTACAACGGTTTGCAAAGCATGGTGGACTCCAAATAAATATTTGAGCCACATCTGGTCACAGCAAAAACACACATTATATACATTCTATCCCGACGCCTTGGCCCCTCCTCTGAGGTTACAATCTTATCAGGATCACCTAAACAAAATACATTATCCCTGCCCCTTACTATTTTGCTTCACCTATTCCCTTATATGCACTTTATCATGAAATCCTATAGCTCAGTGTGGAAATCCTATAGCCTACGTGTAGAACTCTTCCAAGGTACGTGTACATGTAGAAATTGGGTAGAAATCTTGCAGTCTACGTGTAGAAATTTTGTGTAGAAATCTTTCTGTCTGCGTGTAGAAATTTTACAGAGTACGTGTCACTTAACTTTACTTTTTATTCTAAAATTTTATTCCTAACAGAAGGGACCTTGGAGGTCATCTAGTCCAACCCCCTGCTCAGGCAGGAAACCCTAGCCCAGTGGTTCTCAACCTGTGGGTCGGGACCCCATTTGGGGTCGAATGACCATTTCACGGGGGTCGCCAAACAAGGCTGTCCGCCATTTTTTCCCCCTTTTCTTTGGCCACGCCCCTGACACCTGGTGATGTATAAGTGGTTGGGGGTCACCACAACATGGGGAACTGTATTATGGGGTCTCGGCATTAGAAAGGTTGAGAACCACTGCCCTAGACCATTTTGGACAGATGGCTGTCCAGTCTCTTCTTAAAAACTTCCAGTGTTGGAGCATTCACCGCTTCTGGAGGCAGGTAGTTCCATTGGTTAATTGTTCTCACTGTCAGGAAATTTCTCCGTAGTTCTAGGTTGCTTCTCTCATTGATGAGTTTCCACCCGTTGCTTCTTGTCCTGCCTTCAGGTGCCTTGGAGAATAGCTTGACTCCCTCTTCTTTGGGGCAGCCCCTGAGATATTGGAATACTGCTATCCTGTCCCCCCTTGTCCTCCTCTTCGTTAAACTAGACATACCCAATTCTAGCAACCGTTCCTTATATGTTTTAGCCTCCCGTCCCCTAATCATCTTTATTGCTCTTCTCTGTACTCTTTCTAGAGTCTCAGCATCATTTTTACATCGTGGTGACCAAAACTGGATGCAGGATTCCAAGTGTGGCCTTACCAAGGCCTTGTAAAGTGGTATTAACACTTCACGTGATCTTGATTCTCTCCCTCTGTTAATGCAGCCTAGCACTGTGTTGGCCTTTTTGGCAGCTGCAGCACACGGCTGGCTCCTATTTAGGTGATTGTCTACTAGGACTCCGAGGTCCCTCTCACAGTTACTACTATTGAGCCTGGTGCCACCTATGCTGTACTTGTGCTAACATCATCAGTGCATGGCAGAATGAAGCAAGCAGCAAATCTCACTGCTGCTCACTAATTATGTTAGTAACCATGTTACTTGGGATGAAATATCTGCAAGAAAACAGCCGAGCTCAAGGAACATCAAGAACGTAAACATTCAACCCAGAACTATTTTTTTAAAAAATTTATTTATAATACAATTAAAAAAAAACATTGGCTATAACGTGACATTCCAGTATATACATTCTTATCAAATTATTCCACATTTTACAATCGATCCTTCATCTCTAAATATACGTCTAAGTTTTATCTACAATACTTATTCTAAAATAATATATGTTTCTATCTTAACACTGTGGAGCACCGTATTTGGGGCGGGAAAGAATCCGATCAATGCACAATAAAAAAGGAATATTTCCCCCCCCCACCCCCCTCAGATTCAGAAAATCTCATTCTGTTGAAGCTGCCCAGGCCTGCATTTGCCTTTTTTTCTGCAGCCCGGCGACCCTGTTGCAGTCGATGGGTTTCCAAGTTTCTTTTTCATGCAGGGGGTTTCCCAAGAGGAATCAATCTCTCTTGGATCTTGCAGGCTGTTGATTTGAATTGCTTTGGGAGGGAGGGAGGAAAGAAGTAGACTCATAGGATGGGAAGGGGCCTTAGAGGTCCTCTAGTCCAGCCCCCCTTGTTCAAGCAGGAAACCCTGTACCTTTTCAGCGACATGGCAGGGAAGAAAGGAAGGAAGGAAGGGAGGAAAGAAGGAGTGAAAAGGAGAAGAAAGCAAGGAACAAAATAAATAGAGAGAGGGCGGGGGAGAAGGAACATATAACATAGAATAATAGGACGGGAAGGGACCTTGGAGGTCTTCTAGTCCAACCCCTTTGCTTGACCAGGAAACCCTATAGCATTTCAGTGAAATGGCAGGGAAGGAAGGAAGGAAGGAAGGAAGGAAGGAAGGAAGGAAGGAAGGAAGGAAGGAAGGAAGGAAGGAAGGAACAAAATAAATAGAGACGAGGGAGGAGAAGGAACATATAACATAGAATAATAGGATTGGAAGGGACCTTGGAGGTCTTCTAGTCCAGCCCCCTTGCTCAAGCAGGAGACCCTATACCAGTGGTTCTCAACCTTTTTAATGCCGCGACCCCCAACCAGTCGTAAGTCGAGGACTACTCAACCGGTCGTAAGTCAAGGACTACTCAACTGGCGCAGCACCGTTTGCAGAATGGGACTTTTGGCGGGCTCAGCAGGGCAGAGACAACCTGGACAGTCCCTATTGGCTTTTGAAAGCCAATAGAATTAGACCCTATTCAAGAGAGTCTCTTCTATTGGCTTTCAAAAGCCAAGAGAATAAAAGGGAGCAGCACAGCTAAGGAAAAGGGGGAAAAAAATGGCGGACTGCGTTGTTTGGCGGCCCCCATGAAATGGTCATTCGACCCCAAATGGGGTCCCGACCCACAGGTTGAGAACCACTGCCCTATACCATTTCAGGCAAATGGCAGAGAATGAATGAAGGAAGGAAGGAAGGAAGGAAGGAAGGAAGGAAGGAAGGAAGGAAGGAAGGAAGGGTGGGAGGGAGGGAGGGAGGGAGGGAATTTTCCAGG